TTTTTTTTTCACAAAATTCAAAATATAAATTTAAAATTTTTAATTTAAAATTTCGAACTGTTAACATTTAACTTATTCCTTATTATTTAAAAAAATGGCCTATTAGTGGTTTACTACTACAGCGTCGTACTAGAAGTTCAAATTATTATTATTACTTTTCAATAAAGAGTCTGATTATGGTGAAGAAAATCATTATCATTATTTGTATATTAAATAGAAGTCTCCGGAACCCTGTGTTCTCCGAGTTTGTGCTGCCCATGAACGAAATTTGGTTTCTAATATGATGGTTTCTCGTTTTTGAACGACCATCTCTCTTTCCTTCTCCTCTTCTTTCCCTCTTTTTCCATTTTTTTCTCTTTTAATCCTTTTATTCCCCTCTAGATGGATTCTTTTTTTCTTTCCTTCAATCTCCATGGTAAAGAAGAAGAAGAAAAGTTGTGGTGGTAGCAATATCCTTTGTCCCTAGTGGGCTTGACCACAACGTTGAAGTGGGTATATTGTAATATTCTAATCTCACATAAAAAAGGTAAAATAATGAGTAACTACCACTAATAATTAGAATTTAAATTTTTGAAGACATTTAGATATTAATTTAAAGAGTTATCAATCTAGTAGAGAGTAAAAAATTAGAAAAATAGTTGTGGCAGTAGAAATTCCTTTATCCCTAGTGGGCTTGATAAGATTGTCAAGCCTTAAAGTGGAGATGTAGTACAAGAGTGAGTAATTGCTACCAACAAGGAATTTAAGCTTTTGAAGGCCATCGACATTGACCAAAAGATTTGCTAGGCCAATGGTGAGAGAAGATGAAGAAGAGTTGTGGTGGTGGCAATTCTTTTGTCACTAGTGGGCTTGACAAGAACATCAATTCATAAAGTGGAGGATTTTGCAATACTCTAATTTCACATCCGAAAAAAGTACAATAATGAGGATTCCACCACTAATAACTCAAGATTAAATTTTTAAGAGTCTGTTAATCTTGAATTAAAAACTTATTAAGTTAGTGATGAGATTCACCCACGTTATTTCACATGCTTACATTTATGGAAAAAAGATAATACAAACCTATTGGTTAAAAGAAAATTTACAATCGTTTGGTAACAATTTCTTAACACAAAGCTTTAGACCTCCAAATCCTTGCTAAGAACACTTTCAAGATTCTCTATATCATTTTTCTCACTCACTAACATCATCTCAAAATGAGGACCCAAAGTGTATAAGGGAGCTGGTAGATGGGAACCTACAGTGGGTGGTAGCCTATTTTGATAGAATTAAGTATTGGTCTCCATCAGATATTACAAAAGAAAGATTTGTGTGGGTGAGAATCCAGGGGTTACCATTAAATTTTTCATCTGAAGAAAGCTTAACAACAATCGGTAACCACGTGGGAAAGCTTGTATCAATTGATGAGTACAGACTCTCTAAGGAGTGTCCGGATGCTACAAGAATTTTAGTCTCCACCAAATCCAAAATGGCAATAAATGAAGAATTCATCCTTAAAGTGAAAAATAATAGTTTCCTCATTGTCTTAGTGGAGCAAAATTAGAGGACTGAACCCTGATGGTTGAAGAAAACTGTAAACTCAATTACTGAATCAAATGTGAGTTCAACGGCGTTTAACTTCAGTGATGAATCCGACGAGCTTGACGAAGACAACTTAAACAGTCTAGAGGAAGAAGAAATTCAAACACCTTTCAAAGGTGTCAAAGGCATTCATTATTCTGACAAATTGTGCATCTTAAAGACGCTAGTTGAAGTGGGCAAGGTAAACAATAAAACTCTATCAAATCAAGAGAGTGGGAAACAGAGAGAGGAGTGGGAAAGTGAGCAAGCAAATGGGAAGCATACTAGTTTCAGTACAGCTCTAGCTTCTGAGGTGCAGGTAGTCCAAGAAACGGCCCAATCTAGAAGCCTAAATGACAACAAAAATGAAGCCCATTCGGTGAAGGACAAAACAGAAATGGACCTCCAGGAGAATAGTGGGCTTCAAGGGACTAAAAAGCCTAACAAGAGCCCCTCTTTACCAGCAGAAGTCAGGATAGATTTAACAAAACTGGTAACTAGTACAAAACGTGGAAGAAGAAGAAAAGCAACGATCCAGCCAGTTAACTTTGGTGGTCAATTGCCGGTCGGTTTTTTATCGAACAGTGACATTATATACAACAACAAGAGAATCAAAGAAGGCATGATTGCAGAGGAAGTGAAGGTGCTAGATTTTGTGGGCAAGCTAAGGATGGAGATCAAAAACTAAGAAGAGCAAATTCTGGAAAGACTCAGGTGAATGGAAGAAAGGGACATGCAGGGGTATGTTTGCAAGACATTAAGGTAGGATTTTTTTGTCATTTCTCAGAAATTACTATAAATGAAGTTGCTATCTTATAATGTGAGAGGGTTCAGCGGTGTTGTAAAAAGAAAAGCCGTGAGAAGTATGGTGAGAAAAGAGGAAATTAATTTTGCTTGCTTTCAAGAAACTAAAATAGAAATGATTGACCAGGATTTTTGTCTATCTATTTGAGGGCATGGAAATTTTGATTGGGTATATAAGGCTTCAGTGGGTAGATCAAGAGGTCTACTATGTGTGTGGGACAACGATGTATTTGTTAAAGAAACAGTTGTTGAAATACCAAGTGCTTTGACAATTTATGGTATGTGGCGAGTAAAGAAGCAAAAGTGTTGTATTGTGAATGTATATGCATTGTGTAACAGGAATGATATATTGGAAACATAGGTGGAATTACAAAAGATGATTAAGGAAGAGGAAGGCTTTTGGTGTATAGTTGGAGATTTCAACAGTGTGAGATCAGAGGAGGCAAGAGGAGGAAGATATGAGCATTCTCACTACAGGGAGGATCTTAATGACTTCATTGCAAGTGCTACATTGAATGATTTACCATTAACAAGAAGGAAGTTCACTTGGTATAAGAGTGATGGATCAGTAATGAGTAGATTGGATAGATTTCTTTTTTTTGATGATCTCCTTAATTTCTAGGGTGAATGCTGTCAAGTTGGATTAAACAGATCCATATCATATCACTATCCGATGATACTAAAGAAGGTTAACAGTGATTGGGGCCCAAAGCCATTTAGAGCTCTGAATTGTTGGGATCAGCATCCAGATTTCATCGGTACAGTTGAGAATATCTGGAAAACTACAGAGGTTAGAGGATGGAAGGGATATGTATGCATGGAGAAATTTAAACAATTGAGGAATAACTTGAAGAAATGGAATACTGAAGTCTTTGGCAACTTTGAGCATCAAATTGCAGACGCAGAAGCTAAAATTAAAGAAGTTGATAGCAAGAATGAGGATAACGAAGTATTAGAGGAGGATATCTTGTGTAGAAGGGAAGGCTTCAGTGAATCATGGGCAGCATGACAAAGAAGAGAAATGGCATGGAAATAGAAAATTAAGCTTGATTGGGTCCAACAAGGAGATGCTAATTCTAAGCTATTCCACAGAATTGTTAATGGTAACAGGACAAGAAAATTGATTCGCGACATTTATAAAAATGGCTCATGGATGGAAGAACCCAACGAAGTGAAGCAAGAGGTGCGTGAATATTTCAAAAATATCTTTCAAGAAGAAAAGTGGGATAGGCCAAAGCTTGATGGATTGCAGTTCAAACAACTAGACAACGAAGACAAAATTTGGCTAAAGAGAGATATCTCAACGGAAGAGGTGAAATAAGCAGTGTGGGAATGTGGAGGGGATAAGTCTCTAGGTCTTGACGAGTTCAGCTTCCACTTCATTAGATTGATCTGGAGTGTGGTTGAGAAAGATATTGTTGATTTTGTTCAAAAATTTTCTAGCAATGGCAAGTTGGTAAGGGGACTAAACTCTTCATTTATTGTCCTTGTCCCAAAAAAAGACAATCCTGTTGACTTAAAAGACTATAGACCCATCAGCTTGATTAATAGTCTTTATCAAATAATATCAAAGGTGCTGGCTAATAGGATTAAGAAAGTTCTTTCTAAGGTGATTAGTGGGACACAATTTGCATTTTTGGGAGGAAGACAAATCACTGATGGAATCTTGATTTTAAACGAAGTGGTAGAGGAGATCAAGAAGAAAAAGGTGAATAGCTTCATTTTTAAAGCAGATTTTGAAAAAGCGTATGATTGTGTGAATTGGAATTTCTTAGATGAAATGATGTGGAGGCTTGGATTTGGTGAAAAATGGAGAACATGGATAAAGGAGTGTCTGCAAACTACTTCTGTGTCAGTCCTTGTTAATGGAAGTCCAACTAATGAGTTCAAAATGGAGAAGGGGATAAGACAAGGTGATCCGATAGCTCCATTCCTCTTCTTAATTATTGCGAAAAGCTTAAATGTGTTGATTGAATCAGCCATAAGCAAGGAACTATTCCAGGGAGTTGACATAGGCCTCTTTGGTCCTAACATATCCCACCTCCAATTTGCCGATGGCACTGTTATTATGGGGAAGGCAAACCCTGGAAATATTAAAGCTGTGAAGGGGATTTTGAGATGGTTTAAGCTGGTGTTGGGTTTGAAAATCAACTTCAACAAAAGTGTGTTGTATTCATTCAACGTTTTTGATGGGTGGGGGAGAATGGCAACTGCTTCTCTCAATTGTAAGTCAGGCTCCATCCCTTTCACCTACCTTGGGATGCCAGTTAGGGATGCTATGGGTAGAAGGAAAGCTTGGATTCCAATTATTGAGAATTTTAATAAAAAGCTGGCAGTTTGGAAAGCGAAATGCCTGTCGATCGGTGGTCGAGTTACGCTGCTAAGCTCTGTACTTTCTACCCTCCCTATCTACTTTATGTTCATTTTTAAAATTCCTAAAATTGTGCTCCATGAACTTGTTTGCTTACAAAGAAAATTTTTGTGGGGATACACGGAGGAGAAAAGTAGGTTAGCATGGTTGAGTTGGGATAAAGTGTGTAGGAGGAGAAAAGAGGGAGGCTTAGGTGTACCGGACCTTGTGTAGGAACATAGCTTTACTAGGGAAATGGTGGGATAGATTTGGGAAGGAGGAGAATAGTTTATGGAAAAAAATTATATCCGATAAATATTACGGTGGTGGTACGGTGTGGGATATTAAACAAATTCAAGTTAGGAATTTATCTACCCTATGAAGGAACATCGTGGACTTAGGTAATAATGGGGGTAAAGGTTCAAAGATATTTAGGGAAGGATTCCATTGGAAGTTGGGGATGGGTGGCAAAATTAACTTCTGGTATGATAAGTGGGTAGGAATAGAACCTTTGAACGTCACTTATCCTCGATTATTTAATTTAGCATCTAATAGGACTACTAATGTTATGGATGTGGGACACTTTTCTAATGGATTCTGGACTTGGAGAAATGCTTGGAGACGTAAACCTTTTGGCAAGGAAAGGAACGAAGAACAAATGCTAAAGGAAAGCCTAATGGGTGGGCTTGTGTTCTCTGCCCAACTGGACCAAAGAAGTTGGAATTTTGATGCTACAAATGGTTACAATGTTAGTAAGGCTTACTCAATGCTGGCTAGGTAGAATAGAATTTTGGAAACAAGAATCTATAAAAGGCTTTGGAATAGACTGGTACCAGCCAAAATCAGTTGTTTCAAGTGGTGTCTCCTTTTTAATGGCCTTCCAACAAAAGCTGGTCTTCTAAGAAGGGGCATCAAGATTGATGAAGCATAAACTATCTGTTGCATATGTAGATGGGACCTTGAAGATGAAAATCACTTGTTTGTTCAATGCCCCAAGATACAGAGTCAATGGATGAGATGCTACAATTGGTGGGGGATTTCCCTACCTTTTCCCAACTCCACTTCTCTTCTATGTAAAGCTCACAGCGTAGGAATCAAAAAGGTGGTAAAACCAGATGTTTGGTTTCTCATATTCTTGGTGGTTACATGTGCCATATGGTATATGAGGAACTCTATTATCCATAAAGCACAACAATGGGATGAGAGTAGGACTTTTGATCTAATTCAAAGAATGACCTTTGTATGGATAAGGGGGAAGTCTACTAACACTATGTTTCCCTTCTTCTACTGGTGCAATTCCCCTAGTTCATGTGATCAAGAAACTACTAGAAGTTAATTTTGATGCTCATACTGCCAGTCCTTCCTGCTTTGATTTGGCTTGGACTGCCTTTATTGGTGTTACCTTGTAATGTATTTTTGAGACTATGGGTGGAGTACCCCTGGTACTCTTTATTATCATAATGAATATTTTGATTCATCAAAAAAAGAAAAAAAAAAAAGAAAAAAGACTAACATCATCTCAAAAGGAAATCTAATTGGGCGGATGAATCACCTATCTCAATACCCAAAGTTGAGTCACCTCTCTTTAATCCCAATGGGGAGTTAGATTTCACCACATATATATTAGGTTTGAGAATAACGCAATTTATAATTACTACGCCCTAACTTGATGGTATTTGGTTGCAAAAAAAGAATGAAAAGGGGTTATATATTGTTGTCTTAGAGAGTTTAGATATGGAGAAATTGGCTTAGGTAAGGCAGTTCAAAGAATTTATATTAAAGATATTAATTTTTACGTCTTTGAAAGAAACATTATCCCCATAACACAATGCCTATTCATTAAACTTTGATAACCTAGGCAATACACTCAAGAAAGAAACGAACCTAGAGGAAAAGATTAGAATATCGTTCTAACACCCTTAGGCAAATCCTAAATTAGCAAACAGGTTGGAGGGATGCTGGTTATATTAGTCAATATCCTTTAACTCCTACTGAAACATTTTAATCCATGAGGTCCAATGGGTTAAAATGGATAATTACAAATGGTATCAAAACTATTCTATGTGAATTTTTAAATGGTAATGGAGTAAACTTTAGTGAGAATGCCATCTCAAAAGGGAATGTATGTAACACCCTTGGATAAATTTCGGGCGGATAAAACATGATAAAATGCTGAATATATTAGTCAACATTTTTAAACCCTTACTAATTCATTTTAAAATCGTGAACTCTCTTGTGTCAGGTCGTTGCACTCTCTTATTGCTGCCTTAAATTTTGTATGAGCCAAATGGTGGCACTTGCACCACCCTACAGAGACATAACCCTTGAAGAAGTATAAACACCTTTTTGAAGCTTCATTATTGAATTTGAATTTGATTTGAATGATTATCGGACAACTGTTGCAAACGATTTTATCTCCGCTCTTCAACCCATTTCCACGTTTCCTCCGTTTCGTTTCTTTCTTCATTTTTAAATCTCCGTTTCCATTAGTCACTAACTTTTTTAAAAAAAATTAAAAAACTTAAAAATTATGAAAATTATATTAATAAAAGTACAATATATGGGACTCAATTCTAAACCTCATCTTAATATATCAGCACAATTTCAAACAAAAATCTAACAATAATATCAACATGAACTCATTGGCATCATTTGTGACTATGCCTTCCTGTCTTTGAATACTTTTTGAGCCTCAGATATGTTGGGAGCGTATGGAAGAGAGAGTACAATCCATACGAAGAGATGTCATATTGAACTCAAAAGATATGCTACCACATCACTTAACTCAACTCTACTCACATGTTCATATACTCCAACATTTTTTCCCATAAACTACTTTGGACTTCAGACTTCGTTTGTCTACTTAGAGACTTCACTCATCTTCTATCACTAAAGATATCATATCTTCAATTTCTGATCAAAAAATTGAAAAAATCAACTATAGTACCACTTGTTGGGAGAGTCTAACAGTCGGCTTGAAAGTGCAACAGTGAAAAAGCATGAGAGCATATGAGTAGATGCCATATTAAATCCAAAA